AAATTATACAAAATTTCAAATTTCAAAATTTAACATTCTTATTTTTGCGTCTTGCAATTGTAATTTCCTTTAATTCAATACAAAATTAGTTACTTTAGTTTAATGAATAGAAAATATGTTATATTTTGTGTTTGGAAATGAAAAATTTAATGAATTTAACTATGAATTTTCTTAACTTTTCTCAACTAAGATGAGAACAAAAAGAAGTTGAATAACTTATAATATATTATCATTAAAACTTACATTTGGAATATACATTTTGTGTCTTGCAATTGTAATTTCCCTTAAGTCAATACAAAATTAGTTACTTAATTAATAGATTAATTGGTGTTTGGAAATGAAAAATTTAATGAATTTTCTTAACTTTTTTCAACTAAGATGAGAACAAAAAGAAGTTGAATAACTTATAATATATTATCATTAAAACTTACATTTGGAATATACATTTTGAGTAGGGATGCGGGTTGTTGAAGAGGAAGTTCTAAATCATGCGATCAAGCAGACGTGACAAGCAGTGACTTGGATGATGAAGTTGTTGGTTGATTGATGCTTCGTTCTAGATATCAGATAATGCGCGAATCTTGTTAATAACAATAATAACTGCGGTCGTTGATAATTTCGGAAAGTGCGACGAGTTTGTAAGTTTCGAGGTGATGACGGCAATTAGGCTGGGTAATCGGCGAACTGCTGTTCGTCTGCACTTAAACTATAAAGCAAACAGAGTTTGCGAAGCAACTCCATGTATATATGTGGGTGCGTCCTGCATGCAAGGGTGAGTATTCAGCAGACAAAGACAGAGAGGGTTGCACCATGAATATTAATACAAACAGTGCCGACATTCCATATATCTATTATGTTAATTCGTAGATGTGGATAGTAGCGTAGTGGAAGTATTATTTTTTTTTTCATTTAGCAAGCAAAACCCGTCCTCCCTCTTCAAGTTTTTAATGAAATTTCTTCTTGCTACGGTCTGAGGCAACGCGCACCACTTCATTAATAACACATTCCGAAGAGAGGCACAGGCAGCAGCAACAAGACATCCTCTGTGCGTCCAAAAACTTTCGTTATTAAATAAATATATGCACGGATTTCGGTGGGCTTGGCCGCTAACTTCCTGGAAATTCAATTCCGTAGACCACCTCCCGATATTAATGCAACATCAAAATCTATAATTCACTTACGGGCCGAAGCACCGTCTCCACTAATTGCTTAATACACCGAGGCTACATTTTACCAAGTCAAATGAGAATCCTCGAACATCTAATCCAGTCACATAATCTTCGGATTTCAATTGCTTCGCATATGCGACTTCGATTAGTTCGGATTCACATCGAATATTTAGAAAATAAAAGTAAATTTTAATGGAGTAAAATAAAAAATAAATTCTAAACAAATTGTTAGTTTATTCCCTCAGTTAGTCCAGTTTCAAATAGTCCGGGATTCATTTATTAGAAAACCATTTCATTATCATAATATCAAATAACAATGATTAGACAGAAGTTAAGGTCTTCTAAGTAAAGTTATTTTATGTAAGAATCCTTCGTTCTTGCAATTTCCAACGAATTTATATTGTTTTAAGTCATTTACTAAGATTTGATAGACACATTTTTAAGAAATAAGTAATATTATTTTCAACTTTGGTTTGGTTTTCTATTAACTTTTTACTGAAAAATTATACAAAATTTCAAATTTCAAAATTTAACATTCTTATTTTTGCGTCTTGCAATTGTAATTTCCCTTAATTCAATACAAAATTAGTTACTTTAGTTTAATGAATAGAAAATGTGTTATATTTGGTGTTTGGAAATGAAAAATTTAATGAATTTAATTATGAATTTTCTTAACTTTTTTCAACTAAGATGAGAACAAAAAGAAGTTGAATAACTTATAATATATTAACATTGTTAGTTTATTTCCTCAGTTAGTACAGTTTCAAATAGTCCGGGATCCATTTATTAGAAAACCATTTCATTATCATAATATCAAATAACAATGATTAGACAGAAGTTAAGGTCTTCTAAGTAAAGTTATTTTATGTAAGAATCCTTCGTTCTTGCAATTTCCAACGAATTTATATTGTTTTAAGTCATTTACTAAGATTTGATAGACACATTTTTAAGAAATAAGTAAAATTAAGTTTTTTGTAAAAAGTTAAATTACTTTAGTATTGAAATCAACAAATTTGGATTGTATTAAAATCCTTGTATTTATATTATATTATTATATATAATTATATTATTTCAACTTTCATCTCTGAAAAACCATTTCATAATCGTATTGGCTCATATATATTTATCATAACAGCTCTAATTTCACTTGTTCGAACATCTAGTAACTATTTCTGACAAAAATTTCATTTAATTTCATTGTAGTACCAACCGTTATACCTAAAGTAGTCCAGTTATTTTTTTTATTTTAAAAAGAAGTTGGTAATCATTGGTTATGAAGTCAAATGACAGTGAAATTAAACTGTCAATTCTATCAACTCAAATAAACGTATTTCTCTGCAGTTAAATGAAATTGTTATGTAATTTATTTTTATTTATATTTAGAAATTGCACAGTTTTATTGAAGCTATTTATAATTTCAAGTCAAGGTTAAGAGTTTGTAACTGTCAGTTAGGTATTTTTTTTTATATGTAGTTGGTAATAAATTGTCATCATGACAATCAGATTGAAGTGTCAATTCAACTAAGTTAAAATGTATTTCTTTATATTTCTGTATCACATGTGACAAGTTAGTGTGAATGGAATTGTCAAGAAGATAGATTACGTAATAGTTGTGTGTGTGTGCGCGTATTTGCGGTGGATGCGCCCGGTACATAATTACCTAAACGGTGAAATCCGTTTTTCAAGGCCTCCGAGGATTTGGGTATGGGTCCCACAGGTGATCATCGGTAAGCAAGACAAATTAAACGGGAATTCGACGGTGCATTATTCGATTCGTTCCGTTCAGAAAATATAGCATAAAGATGATGCTAACTCGAAGGCATACGGTTCGGAATGCGGAGCGACACATGTTATCCAGGAGGAGACGGGTTCGAGGAAGATTTCCTAAATCAGGATTTGTTGGTGATATAAGGAGGTCAGGATGGAGTCGCGGAGGCGATCCCACCTAAATTATGGCAATATGTTCGTCCTTCTTTGAAGGAAGAATCAATACATACATTTATCCAATCCGTTCCATCTGGATATATGAATTATCCGGAATCGGAGTGGGCTTTAATTGGATTAGTCGCTTCCGGGTTTGTTGCATAATCGATGTATTTCCATACTAGATGTAGTTAATTTTTAGAGTTGTTTAATTAGAGATCTAAGCCAGGCGGCACCATAAAAAGGCATTATTTATGTGGGACTCTGCGTGCGCGCGCGAAATCCTTCGATGGAATTTATCGTAATCACAATTTAATTGAGCGAATTGGCGTCGCGCCAAGCGAACTTACGAATTTATAAATAAAACTCGATTAATCCTAAAATACTCGATTTCATATCGCCGCCATTGCCAAACTCCTGTTGCCAACCGACATTTAAACACCTATCTTAATTACTTTATTTAACACTTACTTATTACTTCAAAAGTTTACCTCATTAATTAATATTATTAATAAAAAACAGTAATCAATAAAATTTACAATTATTTAACTAAGTTTTAGTTCATATTTGTATCAATTTCCATTGAGAGAAGAATTCAATATTGAATTGTTTTCTACGTGGAATTAAAGTCTAAACTATTTACTAAATTATTTACAAAAATAAATTAGTTTTGAGAAAATTAACAAAAAAAAATGTTTTTGTTTTTTCTAAAATGAAAAATAATTACTAAAAATATTGGAATTTATACTTTTCATATTTAAAAATCAAATGTATTATTTAAGAATAATTTTGTTTATCAAAAAATAAAAATGACTAAATGTATTTCAATAAATTTGAATGAAAATTAACGATTTTTGTGTCAAAATTTATTTTATCTATTGAAATCTGCAACATTTTGTAAAATTTACCTTTATTAGGATAATAAGAGAATTATATAACTGCGAGTTGTTGTTAGGCGGAGCAAAGAACTATTATTAACATAATATTATTCTTTTATAAAACTGCGCATAATATCCAATTATGTAACCAACTTTTAGTTCATATTTGCAATGTATAATCAATTTCCATTGAGAGAGGAATTCAATAGTGAATTGTTTTCTACGTGGAATTAAAGTCTAAACTATTTACTAAATTATTTACAAAAATAAATTAGTTTTGAGAAAACTAACAAAAAAAAATGTTTTTGGAAGATTGTTTTTTTCTAAAATGAAAAATATTTACTAAAAATATTGGAATTTATACTTTTCATATTTAAAAATCAAATGTATTATTTAAGAATAATTCTGTTTATCAAAAAATAAAAATTACTAAATGTATTTCAATAAATTTGAATGAAAATTAACGATATTTGTGCCAAAATTTATTTTATCTATTGAAATCTGCAACATTTTGTAAAATTTACCTTTATTAGGATAATAAGAGAATTATATAACTGCGAGTTGTTGTTAGGCGGAGCAAAGAACTATTATTAACATAATATTATTCTTTTATAAAACTGCGCTGATAACAATTATTATTCCACTTGGTAATATTCCTTTCTATCTATCTAGTCGCATGTTATGTGTTTATTTTATAAGATCTTTTTTTTTAATGCCCAGACGGAAAATTTCTGTCTCTACTCGTTACAGTTTTGGATCGTTTTAGGATACAAATTATTTTTTGTTATTTTCAGTAAATTAATATCAGGCGAAACTTTGGAACGGTGATTTTTGCGTCCGAAAATTGCGTGTAGATAATTTTAATTGGTGAAAAATTGGTTTACAATTGGCGAAGATAACGTGCGACGAGCAGCAAACATGTTTGATGCGAGTTATCTGCGTGCGATTTTTTTTATCGGGCTTCAGGTCAACGATAGACGATGCGTTTCTTTAGTATATAAGAGTGCTGCTGATCATCCAGAAAGCATACTCAAGGTGTCTCGAAGTGTGAACACATCATGAGGACAGCAACCGTAGTTCTTTTGGCCGGCGTTTGCGCCTTGGCTGTTGCCACCCCAGTCTCCAAGCAAGAATACAAAATTGGTAAGTTTTAGTGTTTTTTTTTTGAAGATTTTTGATTTAAATTGTTGAATATTATTTATAGCTGATAAGGTCTTCCTCGAGAAGGAAAAGGATGTTCTCCGTTTGTTCGAGTACGTGAACCAACCGGCTTACTACAAGGATTTTATTGAGATCGCCAAGGACTTCAAATTCGATGGACACTGGGACCAATGGACCCAGCCCCAATACGCTAAGGAATTCTATCACTACTATGAGCACGATATCCTTCCACAAGGAGAGGTCTTCTCCGTGTTCTACCCAGAGCATTTGAAGCAAGCCGTCGCTTTGTTCAGAGTATTCTACTACGCCAAGGACTTTGAGACTTTCTTCAAGTCCGCTGTCTGGGCTCGTCAACACGTTAACGAAGGCATCTTCGTTTATGCTCTTTCTGTTGCCGTCATCCACAGCCAATGGACCAACGAACTTGTCCTTCCTCCAATCTACGAAATCTACCCACAATTCTTCTTCACCGACGAAGTCATCCACAAGGCTCAACAGTACAAGCAACACTACTGGGGAACTTACGAGCACGAGAAGGAAATCAAGGATGAAAGCTACAAGGGCTACACCATCCAAGCCAACTACTCCGGCTGGTACATGAACGTCCACCCAGAACAATCCATGACCTACTTCACCGAAGATGTCGGTCTTAACTCTTACTATTACTACCTTAACATCTTCGCTCCATTCTGGATGGAAAGCAAGGAATTGAAATACGATGCCTCTTTCCGTGGACAGTTCTTCTACTACCGCCACCAACAGCTTTTGGCCCGTTACTACTTGGAGCGTCTCTCCAACGGTAAAGGTGAAATCCCACACTTCGACTTCGAGCACCCAATTGAGACCGGCTTCTACCCATCTCTGACCTACGGCAACGGTTTGAAATTCCCGACCAGGCCAAACCACGCTAACCTCTACTACCACGGTGTCCACGGAGAACAAAACTACAAATGGTTCGGAAACTACTCCAACTCATACACCTACGTCAAGGACTACGAAAGGCGTCTCCGTGATGCCCTCGACAACGGATGGGTTTACACCCCAGAAGGCAAACAAGTTTTCTTGTACACCAAGGACGGATTCCAAACTCTTTGCAATTTGGTTGAGAGCAACCCTGATTCACCACATGGTCGCTTCTACGGAGACATCCAAGTCTTCGCTCGTCACCTTTTGGGATACTCCTACTTCCCATTGGACCAATACAAGGTAGCCCCATCCGCTTTGGAGCACTTCGAAACCTCTCTCCGTGACCCGATGTTCTTCCAATTCTACAAGAGGATGATGTACTACTTCCACCAATACCAGAACTACATGGGACCATACGAAAGGCAATACCTGAACTTCGACGGTGTCAAGGTCGAGGATGTCCAAGTTGACCGTCTCATCACCTTCTTCGATTACTACTACTCCGATCTCTCTCACTCCGTTGCCGTTGACGAGAAGGAATTCGTCGAAGACACCTTCGAGGTCCGCGCTCGCCAATTCCGTCTGAACCACAAGCCATTCAACTACAAGATCAACGTTGTCAGCGAGAAAGCCAAGGAAGCCTTCGTCAAGGTCTTCATTGGCCCCAAATACGACGAATACGGACGCGAAATTGACATGGAAGACAACTACATGAACTTCTTCGAATTGGACAGGTTCACCTACAGCCTCCAAGCCGGCAAGAACGTTATCGAGCGTAACTCCAGGGAAAGCAAATTCTTCAGCGTCGACCGCACCACCTACAAGCAGCTCTACAAGCAAGTCCTCACTGCCTACAACGGTGGCGAAGCCTTCAAGTACTACCCGATGTACAAGTACACCTCCTTCCCACAGAGGTTGATGCTCCCCAAGGGCGAATACGGCGGCAAGACCTACCAATTCTACGTCATCGTCAGCGAGTCCCACGGACATGAAGAATCCAGCACCACCGCTCAATACTTGGTCGACACCAAGTACACCATCGGCTATCCATTCGACAGGCCGATCAAGTTCGAGCACGACTTCTTCGTACCAAACTCCTACGTCAAGGACGTCGTCATCTACCACAAGAACACCGAAGAGGAGATGAACACCACCTGGAGCAAATATTAAATTTCGCTCAAGTCGCAAACAATAAAACGTCGACCGCAAATGTAAATTCTTATGACTCGATATAAATATATGTTCTAAAACGCACAACAAAAACTAATAGTTTTCTTATAATTTATCCCAACATTAATATTCATGATTTGTTGACAAATCAATTATTGACAGATATAAAGTATTGTATATTCATGAAATTACATTGTATAGAAATTTTGTTGACAAATCAACAAACAACTAATATAAACAGAAAACTAGTAGATTCAATAATTTATCCCCATGCTATTATTAACATTTTCAAAGTTTCATTGAAATTGATTTGTGGTGAAATCCGTGCAATCGTTGTTGACAAATCAACAAACTGACTGACAAACACGCACACGCAGTAGTGTCGACAGGAAACGAATGGATATTGGGTTTTTGCATAGAGTTGTAACAAATTTATGGTGCGGATTACGATTACATCATCGGCGTTAATCCATCCGTGGAAATAAATTATACCATTGCAGACACACCGGGGGGTGGGAATCTGCGAATATCGCAAGGACGACATTATTAAATCGGATAAATCAAAACGTTAAGGTTGAGACCTTCAAATTATTATCAATCCCATCCGCAGCAGCGGCTCCGGCCCAAGAATTTAATACGCTTTATATATATCCCTCAGTCGGCTATAAAACACACACGGCTCTTCCGCTCATAATATACTCTTCAGCAGATGTACTAGTTTTAAATAAAATTTATTATCTCAGTCGCACGCAATTATCTGAAATATGCGGTGCATTATGTTATGTAATGATAAAAGTGTGTTTGTATGAGGAAAAGTAAATAAAAATAAGCGGACGCGATAACTGGACGAGTCGGCCGCAGATTCATAAAATCGGCCTTGCACTTGACATTCCAGAAAAAAAAAATTGTTTGATAACATTTTGCGAAGGACGAGCTGAATATCAATGGAACGCTTTCATCCAAATCCTCGGATAATCTAGTACACTCAACTTTATTTTAATTACTCTTTATTATATAATCTTCAAATTTGATATCTAAAGAGGATACATATATATATACATTTTTTCTTTTTTACTAATTAAATGTGATATTAGATTTTGGGAATTTGTATTTTGGATGGGATCGCGTGACGGTAACAGGAGGGTTAACATAGGTCGCATGTCCAATGAATCTCCCTTTACAGGAATGCGTCGACGAAAGGGCGCAGTTGGAATTCGTGACCTCAAGCCGTCCGACGCTGCTGTCGGTTCGAACTTTAATTTCCCGCACCGGTCTAAAGAAAACTGAAATGGCAGTCGCAACAGAAAAAAGTGTAAAAAAAATAGAGAAAAATGTGAAACAGACGTTAGAGCAGAAAGGGCGGAACAAAAGTAGAGCAGAGCGGAAAATAATTAAATTGAAATCGAATTTTCCACTCGGCCCGCTCTTACCTAAATAATGCAACACGATTTTAATCAGTTAATCGAGTTCTCATTACTTTTTTCTTTTTCTTCTTCTCGCTTTCTCCATCTAAAGTCGAATTAAATTGGCAAATTGATTATTAAGTTTTCTTGGCTTCCAATGTGTTTCTTTGTGTCTGCACTTTTCTTTATTCGTTGCTAATTTTAGAAGTGAGTTATCTATTGAGTAAAAACACTAAATATAATTTCAAAGATTTATTTTTTTTTCATACATATTCAATTACATAGCATTTCAGTTGTTAGAGAATGGCGTTGTTCGTTTTAGATTGTTTGGTTTGAGATTGATTTAAACTCTGCTCCAGATGGTATCGAATTTCTTGTCGGCGTTCTTGTGGTAGATGACGACGTCCTTGGTGTAACAGTTTGGCACGAAGAAGTCGTGTTCGAACTCGATGGGCCTGTCCAATGGGTATCCCATGGAGTATTCGGTGTCGACGAGGTATTGGCCGAATTCGCTTTCTCCTGGGGCGTGGTATTCGCTGACGATGAAGTAGAATTGGTAGGTCTTGCCGCCGAATTCACCCTTTGGCAACATAAGCCTTTGTGGGAAGGAGTAGTACTTGTTCTCTGGGTAGTATTTGAATTGCTCTCCACCGTTGTAAGCGGTCAAGACTTGTTTATACAAGTCGAAGAAGGTGGTGCGGTCCTTGCTGAAGTAGATGCTCTCGAGAGAGTTGCGTTCGATGACGTTCTTGCCAGATTTCAAGGTGTACTTGAATCTGTCCAATTCGAAGAAGTTCATGTAGTTCTCTTCCATGCTGATTTCACGGCCGAATTCATCGTATTTGGGACCGATGAAGACCTTGACGAAGGCGTCGACGGCTTTCTCGCTGACAACGTTGATCTTGTAGTTGAAGGATTTGTGGTTCAGACGGTATTGGCGAGCGCGGACTTGGAAGGTGTCCTCTTCGAATTCCTTCTCGTCGACGGAAAGGATGTTGGCGATATCAGAGTAGTGATAGTCGAAGTAGGTAACCAGACGATCGATTTCTACGTCTTCAATCTTGACTCCCTTGAACAAGAGCTCTTCCCTCTCGTATGGTCCCATGTAGTTTTGGTATTGGTAGAAGTAGTACATCATTTTCTTGTACAATTGGTAGAACATCGGGTCACGGAGGGAGGTTTCGAATTGCTCCAAAGCGGATGGGGCTACCTTGTATTGGTCCAATGGGTAGTAAGCGTATCCCAAGAGACGACGGGCGAAGACTTGGAGGTCACCGTAGAAACGCTCGTTTGGTGATTGCGGGTTGCTCTGGACCAAGTTACCAAGAATTTCCAAACCTTCTTTGGTGTACAAGAAAACTTGTTTGCCTTCTGGGGTGTAGACGTATCCCAGGTCAAGAGCATCACGAAGACGCCTCTCGTAGTCCTTGACGTAGGTGTAAGAGTAAGAATAGTTTCCGAAGAAGTTGTAGTGTTGCTCTCCATCGACTCCGTGGTAATAAAGGTTGGCGTGGTTTGGCCTGGATGGGAATTTCAAGCCGTTGGCGTAGGTCAAAGATGGGTAGAATCCGGTCTCAACTGGATATTCGTATTCGAAGTGTGGGATTTCACCCTTGCCGTTGGAAAGACGTTCCAAGTAGTAACGGGCCAAAAGCTGTTGGTGGTAGTAGAAGAAGAATTCGCCGCGGTAGCTGCTGTCAACGTCCATATATTCCTTTTCCATCCAGAAAGGCATATAAACGTTCTGGTAGTAATAGTAGGAGTTGAGACCAACATCTTCAGTGAAGTAACTCATGTATTGTTCGGGATGGACGTTCATGTACCAGCCGGAGTAGTTAGCTTGGATGGTGTAGCCCTTGTAGCTCTCATCCTTGATTTCGTTCTCGTGATCGTAAGTTCCCCAGTAGTGTTGCTTGTACTGTTGAGCCTTGTGGATGACTTCATCGTTGAAGAAGTATTGTGGGAAGATCTCGTGAATTGGTGGCAGGATCACGTTCTCGGTGTGCCTGGAGTGGACGACGGCAACGGAAAGGGCATAAACGAACATGCCTTCGTTGACATTTTGACGAGCCCAAACGGCGCATTTGAAGAAAGTTTCAAAGTCCTTGGCGTAGTAGAAAGTCTTGAACAAAGCAACGGCTTGCTTCAAGTGCTCTGGGTAGAACACGGAGAAGACCTCTCCTTGTGGCAAGATGTCGTATTTGAAGTAATGGAAGAACTCTTTGGCGAATTCAGGCTTGGTCCATTGGTCCCAGTGTCCTTCGAATTTGAATTCCTTCTCGATTTGAACGAAGTCCTTGTAGTAAGCTGGTTGGTTCACGTATTCAAAGAGGCGCAAAACATCCTTCTGTTTTTCAAGAAAAACTTTGTCGGCTGCACAGAATTATTATACAATTAATAAAATATATTTCTACTACAAATTGAAGTGGATACTCACCAACTTTGAATGTGGAGTCTGGTACAGCGGAGGCGCATACCGCCGCGATCAGCAGAACAAATGCTACCCTCATGGTTGTTGACTGTTAACACCTTGAGTGTGCTTTCCTTCTTGCCAGTCGGAGCATTTATACTAAAATTTTGGTTAATTATCGATGACCTATGCAGTTTTATCAAAAAGAAAACGATAACACTAGGATTATGCAGCCGCAAATAAATAAATCAAATTGGTAACAACGAGCGTGAACATGTACAAAAAAAAAATAGATACTAATTACGGTTGGTCGCAGATACCTTTGATAATAATAAGATAGGTTATTGCAACATAATATTTAGAAAACAAGTTAACAAATTTATTTATAACTGTTACGTTGAGTTTTGTTTGTTTATAGATTAGCCTAAATCTGTTATGTATAAATTTATTATTATTTTAAATAAAATCTTTTGACTTATTGTTTAAAATAATATCAAATGTTACTCCATAAGTAAATTCAAAAGCATTAGGAATTCATTAGAAATTTCACAGATATATCATAGAAATCTATTTAAGAGATAATTTAGAAGAAACATATTTAAAATCTTTATTTCTTTAATAACAAATTAATTGTTAATTGAAATGACAAAGGAAATATTTTATTGACTTTGATCTAAAGTATAGACATAATATTTTATATTGCAATATTCATAGAAAACTTAAACAAAAAATGAAATAAAAACATAATGAAAAATAACTAATAATTTACTTTTTACTGATTATAGGTCTTTTATAACTATTGTATACTATTTATTAATATATATTTAAGGTAATAATTTAAAGTAAACTGGGTTTAGGAATAAAAAAATAAATAAAAATACAAATATAAAAATTATTTATTATTGTTTTTTAACAAAATAATCATAACATTTAAATTTAAAAAAAAAATATAGAAATTTTGCAAATCGTAAATGTTTACTAAAACTTCATATTTTGTTGTATACTCTATAAAATATTAAAAAAGGCAGAAAGTCATAGGATTGCTTTGTTAAGTGAGTAAAAAATTAATAATAAAATATTTAAATACTAAAAAAGTTTATAACACATTCTAATTATGGTAAAAAAAAAACATATTAGGGCAGAAAGACCTATGGTCAATAGCCCTTTGTATCAGTTGACTTTTTTTGAAATTATATATATTTATTTTGTTTACTTATTACTCTATGTGTTTTTTTTTAACTGATGCAATAAATATTATTATTATTATTATCATTTATATATATAATAAATTGTATAGGTTTTTGAAAAATAAATATTTATATATAATCTAAAAAAATTGGTTTTGTCGTGTCCCAGGGATGAAATTCTGGACACAGTGGAATATCTTCTTCTGGTGTTGTCGTTTTGGAGTCTCAGTAAATAATTCAATTGGTTTTCACAAGTTTATTATAATAATTAGTACTCTTCCAAGACAATGTATTACTTTTAGAGATTGACTAAGACTAATTACTAACATTTATTTTACTAACGAAGTTAATTCGTATTTATATGGACGGGGTGGGAGTTTGAGGATTAAGGCACGTTTTGTAAAAAGACGCTCCGCTTCAGGTCACTGTTCTCCGTGTGATCTGTCGATTCTGCAGTTTTGTTATCAGTTGAAAATACGAAGAAGCGCAGCAAACGGTCACTGTCTTCTGTGGGATTTGCCTACTCTGCATATTGATTCTGTTAATTATTTATAATTTAGTGGTTGGACACAACAGTTTAAATAATAAAAAGATATAGAATATTGTTGAGAAATTTTTATTTTGTGATATTTACATTAAATTTATGAATATTATATTGAAATTGTCGTTAAAGTATTAATCGGATTAATATCTGCTCCACTTGGTCTCGAATTCCTTGTCGGAGTTCTTGTGGTAGATGAGGACATCCTTGACGAAGGAGTTTGGTACGAAGAATTCGTGCTCGAACTCGATGGGCCTGTCCAATGGGTATCCCATGGAGTATTCAGTGTCGACGAGGTATTGAGCGAATTGGCTTTCTCCTGGAGCGTGGTATTCGCTGACGATGAAGTAGAATTGGTAGGTCTTGCCGCCGAATTCACCCTTTGGCAACATAAGTCTTTGTGGGAAGGAGTAGTACTTGTTCTCTGGGTAGTATTTGAATTGCTCTCCACCGTTGTAAGCGGTCAAAACTTGCTTGTACAAGTCGAGGAAGGTGGTGCGGTCCTTGCTGAAGTAGATGCTCTCGAGGGAGTTGCGTTCGATGACGTTCTTGCCAGATTTCAAGGTGTACTTGAATCTGTCCAATTCGAAGAAGTTCATGTAGTTGTGTTCCATCTCGATTTCACGGCCGAATTCATCGTATTTGGGACCGATGAAGACCTTGACCAGGGCGTCGACGGCTTTCTCGCTGACAACATTGATCTTGTAGTTGAAGGATTTGTGGTTCAGACGGTATTGGCGAGCGCGGACTTGGAAGGTGTCTTCTTCGAATTCCTTCTCGTCGACGGAAAGGATGTTGGCGATGTCGGAGTAGTAGTAATCGAAGTAGGTGACCAGACGGTCGATTTCAACGTCTTCAATCTTGACTCCCTTGAACAAGAGCTCTTCCTTCTCGTATGGTCCCATGTAGTTTTGGTATTGGTAGAAGTAGTACATCATTTTCTTGTACAATTGGTAGAACATTGGATCGCGGAGGGAGGTTTCGAATTGCTCCAAAGCGGATGGGGCTACCTTGTATTGGTCCAATGGGTAGTAAGCGTATCCCAAGAGACGACGGGCGAAGACTTGGAGGTCACCGTAGAAACGCTCGTTTGGTGATTGCGGGTTACTCTGGACCAAGTTACCGAGAATTTCCAAACCTTCCTTGGTGTACAAGAAAACTTGTTTGCCTTCTGGGGTGTAGACGTATCCCAGGTCAAGAGCATCGCGAAGACGCCTTTCGTAGTCCTGGACGTAGGTGTAGGAGTAAGAGTAGTTTCCGAAGAAGTTGTAGTGTTGCTCTCCGTCGACTCCGTGGTAATAAAGGTTGGCGTGGTTTGGCCTGGATGGGAATTTCAAGCCGTTGGCGTAAGTCAAAGATGGATAGAATCCGGTCTCAACTGGATATTCGTATTCGAAGTGTGGGATTTCACCCTTGCCGTTGGAAAGACGCTCCAAGTAGTAACGGGCCAAAAGCTGTTGGTGGTAGTAGAAGAAGAATTCGCCGCGGTAGCTGCTGTCCATGTCCAAATATTCCTTCTCCATCCAGAAAGGCATGTAAACGTTCTGGTAGTAGTAGTAGGAGTTAAGACCAACATCTTCAGTGAAGTAGCTCAAGTATTGTTCTGGGTGGACGTTCATGTACCAGCCGGAGTAGTTAGCTTGGATGGTGTAGCCCTTGTAGGTCTCATCCTTGATTTCGTTTTCATGCTCGTAAGTTCCCCAGTAGTGTTGCTTGTACTCTTGAGCCTTGTGGATGACTTCGTCGTTGAAGAAGTATTGTGGGAATACTTCGTAGATTGGTGGCAATATGATGTTTTCGGTATGCTTGGAGTGGACGATGGCAACGGAAAGGGCATAAACGAACATGCCTTCGTTGACATTCTGACGAGCCCAGACGGCGCATTTGTAGAAAGTCTCGTAGTCCTTAGCGTAGAAGAAGGTCTTGAACAAAGCGACAGCTTGCTTCAAATGTTCTGGGTAGAACACGGAGAAGACCTCTCCTTGTGGAAGAATGTCGTATTTGTAGTAATGGAAGAAATCCTTGGCGAATTCAGGCTTAGTCCATTGGTCCCATTTACCCTCAAACTCGAATTCCTTAGCGGTTTGAACGAAATCCTTATAGTAAGCTGGTTGGTTGATGTACTCAAACAATCGAAGGATGTCCTTTTGCTTTCCAAGGAAGGCCTTGTCAGCTATTTAAAAAAGAAAATTATAAATCAATCAAAAATAATAATTAAGTATATAAAATAGTACCAATAGTATAGTGAGTTTCGGCTAAGGCGAAGGCGCAAAGGCCTGCGAAGAGGACAAAGACTGCTGCTCTCATGGTTGACACCTTGAGATGACTATACTTTCTGTGCTGCGAAGATCCGCTTTTATACCAAAATAAATATCATTTTTATCTTGACCTGTGTCCGTTGGGTGAAACTTATCTTCCAGATAAATAATTTAGAAAGAAGATTAGAATATTTTTGTTGTTCTTTTTCTTATTTGGATAAAAATAATAAGTTTAATTAATGAGATAAAAGAAGAACATTGAATCTCAACATACTAAATCTCTGTTACTAATTTACAATAGATTTTAATATTTTTAATTTAATTGTATTATTTATTTTCTTAATATACATTTTTATGATTAACCCATATAAAATTTTCTTTATAATTATTTTAATTTAAAGGTTGTTTGTAACCAAAATTTAATATTATTTGCTTATTTCCTATGTTTAATAATTTACTTACATAGTAAACTGTATTTTTGGTAAGAAATTTAGTTGATATGGTATTTCTTTAAAGGAATGTCTGTTGAATAATTTGCAGAGTTTTTATCGTAGCCTGAAGTCGCGCAGGTCAAGATAAAGTTCAACAAATATTTAGTATATAAACCGATTGCTTTTAGTTTTTGAATCAGAGTTGAGGTGAATACCCATTCATCCACATCCAAGATGAGAGCAGCTGTAGTAGTAGCACTGGTGGGCCTCGTCGCCTTGGCCATCGCCGAACCCAGCTACAAAGTCGGTAAGCTCATCGATCCACTATTCTAAATCGTAGATTTCATATCAAATGTTGATTTCAAACAGCTGACAAGGTCTTCCTCGGAAAGCAGAAAGATGTTCTCCGTCTCTTCGAATACGTGAACCAACCGGCTTATTACAAGGATTTCGTTGAGATCGAGAAGGAATTCAAATTTGAGGGACACTGGGACCAATGGACCAAGCCTGAATTCGCCAAAGAGTTCTTCCATTACTTCAAATACGACATCTTGCCACAAGGAGAGGTCTTCTCCGTGTTCTACCCAGAGCACTTGAAGCAAGCCGTTGCTTTGTTCAAGACTTTCTACTACGCCAAGGACTTTGAAACTTTCTTCAAATGCGCCGTTTGGGCTCGTCAAAATGTCAACGAAGGCATGTTCGTTTATGCCCTTGCCGTTGCCGTCGCCCACTCCAAGCACACCGAGAACGTGATCCTGCCACCAATTCACGAGATCTTCCCAGAATACTTCTTCAACGATGAAGTCATCCACAAGGCTCAACAGTACAAGCAACACTACTGGGGAACTTATGAGCATGAGGATGAAATCAAGGATGCTAGCTACAAGGGCTATACCATCCACGCCAACTACTCCGGATGGTACATGAACGTTCATCCAGAACAATCCATGACTTATTTCACAGAAGATATTGGCCTCAACTCTTACTATTACTACCAGAACGTCTACATGCCTTTCTGGATGGAAAAGGAATACATGAGCTTCGATGGAAGCTATCGCGGAGAATTATTTTACTTCTATCATCAACAAATCTTGGCTCGTTTCTATTTGGAGCGTCTCTCTAACGGCAAGGGCGAAATCCCACACTTCGACTTCGAGCACCCAATTGAGACCGGCTTCTACCCATCTTTGACCTACGCCAACGGCTTGAAATTCCCGACCAGACCAAACCACGCTAACCTTTACTACCATGGAGTCGATGGAGAGCAACAGTACAACTTCTTCGGAAACTACTCTTACTCCTACACCTACGTCAAGGACTACGAAAGGCGTCTCCGCGATGCCCTCGACAATGGATGGGTTTACACCCCAGAAGGCAAGCAAGTTTTCTTGTACACCAAAGAAGGATTCCAAACTTTGTGCAACTTGGTCGAAAGCAACCCAGAATCTCCCAACAGTCGGTTCTATGGTGACCTTCAAGTCTTCGCCCGTCGTCTCTTGGGATACTCCTATTTCCCATTGGACCAATACAAGGTAGCCCCATCCGCTTTGGAGCAATTCGAAACCTCCCTCCGCGACCCAATGTTCTACCAATTGTACAAGAGGATGATGTACTACTTCTACCAATACCAAAACTACATGGGACCATACGAAAAGGAAGAGCTCTTGTTCAAGGGCGTCAAGATTGAAGACATGGAAATTGACCGTCTGATCACCTACTTCGATTACCACTACTCCGATCTTTCTCACGCCGTCACCGTTGACGAGAAGGAATTCGTCGAAGACACCTTCGAGGTTCGCGCTCGCCAATTCCGCTTGAACCATAAGGCATTCAACTACAAGGTCAACGTTGTCAGCGAGAAAGCCACCGACGCCTTCGTCAAGGTCTTCATTGGCCCCAAATACGACGAATACGGACGCGAAATTGACATGGAAGACAACTACATGAACTTCTTCGAATTGGACAGGTTCAAGTACACCCTCCAAGCCGGAAAGAACGTGATCAAGCGCAGCTCCCTCGAAAGCAACTACTTCAGCGAAGACCGCACCACCTACAAGCAACTCTACAAGCAAGTTTTGACCGCTTTCAACGGCGGAGAAGCATTCAAGTACCCCGATTTCACCAAATACTACACCTTCCCACAGAGGTTGATGTTGCCAAAGGGTGAATTCGGAGGCAAGACCTACCAATTCTACGTCATCGTTAGCGAGTACCACTCCTCAGAAAATAACGAAATTGCTAATTACCTCGTCGACACCGAATACTCCATGGGATATCCATTGGACAGACCAATCGAATTCGAACACGATTTCTTCGTTCCAAACTCATACACCAAGGACGTCGTCATCTACCACAAGAAAACCGAAGAAGAAATCAACACCACCTGGAGCCATTATTAAATGCTTCTAATTTCCTAATTGTACATACGAATGTTTTAACGAATATATATCAAAAAACCACAAAACAATATGTTTTATTTAAAATAACATTTTCAATACTGAAAATAGCGTATCAAACAACTTAAAATTAAGTATTTTGACTAAAATAGTCTCTATCATTAAATATCATAAAATTGAAATTTAAATTTTAATTTAAAATTTGATTAGAAATTGAATAATATTCTTTGAACATTAACTAATATAAATAACTAATTTTCTAAATGAAAATGTATTAAGAAAAGTTAAGATATTTTGTCCTTAAATACAAAGTTCTTATATCCAACAAATTTGGATAAATAATTGATAATTATATATTTGAAAAGAACGCATGTATTCTTGTATTTTATTTAGTTTTTACATTTATTTGCATTATTATGTAATTGTTGTGCATAAATATTCTCAATATTATAAATTATTCATTGTTACGAATATTTATTTAATATTTAATATAGTGTGTTTTATGTTAATAAACAGTTCAGTTGGAAAATTGAAATATAATATTTATTAGAATACTTTTAATTAAATAATTTCAATACACCTTGAATCGCTATTGTTGTTTTTAAAACAATAGGAGAATAATATCTATTCATAATTTGATTATTGTAAAAATAAATTGAATTTAATCATTGACGTCGATCAGTTGTATAAATTTCAATATTGATTTACGTATTTTGAATAATATATTCATTTTAAGTTGTTGATTTGGGAAAATAAACGTGTAGAGTGAATTTGTTTTTTTCTTTTAATTTATTAAAATTGAAACATTTTAAAATCATGTCAAATCAGATTAATGTTGTTTGTACATCAATTTCTCTTCATCGTGGTGCTTCTCGTGGTAGATCTTGACGTCCTTGGCAAAGAAGTTGGGCACCCAGAATTCCTCCTCGAATTTGATTGGTCTGTCCAAAGGATAACACATGGAGTGATGGGTATCGACCAACCATTCAGAGAATGCGTCGGAAGTCGGAGCTTCGTACTTGGTTACGACGACAAAGAATTGGAATGTCTTTCCAGAAGCATCACCCCTTGGAAGCATCATCCTCTGTGGGAAATTGTAGTATTCAGCTGGGTATTGCATCTTGAAAGATTCTTCGCCATTCAAAGCTTTGTGTACTTGGTTGAACAAGGTCTTGAAAGTGAGATGCTCATTGTTGAAGAATTTGTTCTCGTGCGAGTTGCGCTCGATGACGTTCTTTCCAGATTTCAGGGTGTACTTGAACCTGTCCAATTCGAAGAAGTTCATGTAGTTGTGCTTCATCTCGATCTCGTGACCGAATTCATCGTATTTGGGTCCAATGAAGACCTTGACCAAAGCATCTACAGACTTATCGCTGGAAACTTGGATCTTGTAGTTGTACGGTTTGTGGTTCAGACGGAATTGACGGGCGTAAACTTCGAAGGAGTTCTGGGCGAATTCCTTCTCGTCGACGGTGACGGCGTTGCTGATGTCGGTGAAGCATTGCTCGAAGAAAGTTACCAGTTGATCGACATGCATGTCCTCAACCTTGATGCCTTCCATCAAGAGGTGATGCTTTTCGTATGGACCCATATGATGTTGATGGGTATTGAACAAACGCAGTATCCTCTTGGCGATCTGGTAGAACATCGGGTCACGGAGAGAGGTTTCGTAATGTTCCAAAACGGATGGAGTGAGGGTGTTTTGAGAGAAGCCAATGAGATGGCGAAGGAAGATCTGCAAGTTTCCGTAGAAACGAGCGTGCGAGGATTCCGGGTTGCATTCGATTATCTTTCCAAGAGTTTCGAAACCTTCCTTAGTATATAAGTCAATCATCTTGCCTTCTGGGGTGTAAACCCAACCCAAGTCGAGAGCGTCGCGGATGCGTTTCTCATAGTCTTCGACCTTGGTCAAGCAATGGGAGAATTCCTTGAAGGAATTGTGCATTTCCTCACTGTCCAAGTCGAATTTCACGTTCTTTGGCCTGCATGGGAATGGTTTTCCATTGAAGTAGGTAAGAGCTGGATGGTACTCGAATTGGGTTGGTTCTTCGAAGTTTATTGTTGGGATTTTACCCTTGCCGTTGGACAAACGTTCCAAGTAATAACGAGCCACGATTTGGCTGTGGTAGTAATGGCACCATTCACTGCGCTTGGTGGCATCAAAACTAATGTATTCCTGCTCCAACCAGTATGGCAGAAAGACGCTCCTGTAGTAGTAATGAGCGTTCATGCCAATGTCTTCGGTGAAGTAGGTCATCCATTCCTCCTCGTACTTGGTGTATTCAGCGGGGATGGTGTAACTGGACTTCTCTTTGTGCTCCAGTTCATGCTTGTAGGTGCCCCAGTAGTGTTGCTTGTATTGCTTAGCCTTGGTGATGACTTCGCTAGTGAAGAAGTAGTGTGGGAAGATTTCGTAGATTGGCGGTAAAATTACTTCCTTGGTATGCTTGCTGTGGACGACAGCAACAGAAAGAACGTAAACGAACAATCCAGTGTTGACGTGTTGGCGAGCCCAGGCGGCGCTCTTGTAGAAAGTCACGAAGTCCTTGGCATAGTAGAACACCCTGAAGAGAGCTTTGGCGTACTTCGTATGCATCGGGTGGAAAACGGAGAAGATTTCATCTTGCTTCAAGAAATCCTGTTCTTGGTAGAATTGCCAGAACTCCTTCACGTATTCAGGCTTGCTCCATTGATCCCAGTGTCCCTCGAATTTGAAAGTCTTGGCAAATTCGATCAAATCCTTGTAATAAGTGGGCTGTTGCACATGTTGGAAAAGACGGAGGATGTCCTTTTGCTTCTCGAGGAAGACTTTGTCAGCTTTAGACAACAAAAACAATAAAAAATAATAATTTAAACAATGTTCTTAAACAAATCTTTAAAAGAAAACTTACCAACTTTGTAATGAACTCCACTCATGTTGATGATTCAGGATTTGCACTGAGTATGCTAGGTGCGTAGCGATGTTAAGTTTATATACTATTTTTTACGGATCAACATGACCTGATCTCAACGTATCAGCGTTTATCAGCAATTAGATTCATTCTCATTCGCTCACATTTAATCTTCTATTTTATTAAATAATAACGCTTTCATCAACACTGTTATTTTAGAAGTAATCTATTTTTACCCTGTAAATATTTGTCAATACTTGTTTACTAATGGGAACATTCTTTATTTGGATTTTCTTGATTATAGGTGAAATAAATTCAATTATTTGAACAACAAAGATTAATGTATTGAAAATTGAAATCTTCATTTTATACGTGAATATCTTATACGAATCATCAAAATTCAGAATTATTTTATTTAAAATCAAAGCAGAAACCAAGTAAAATTAACATTAAAAAAGTAATTAGTGTAAATCTAATAGAAACAAATTAATTACAACGATTATCAAAGTAATAACAATTGAAGTAACAGATGAGAAATTTGCATCATTTAGCAATTATTAAATCAACAAATTGTAAATTGTATAATTGTGTTGCTTTAGATCAAAGTTGAAATTAATAAAAAATAACATTAAAAACTAATTAGTACAAATCTAATTGAAACAAATTAATTATAAGAATTGCAGTAACAAATGCAGAAATTTGCATCATTTTTTATTTATCGAAATAATAAATTGTTAATATAAAGACGCCAAATAATTGTATCAAAATATCTTCAAGAAATTAATTAGCATCACTCTAATTGAATCAAATTAATTGCAGCACAGATGTGAAATTTACATCACTTTATTCAAAAAAATGTGAGTGTCTCAGATTATAAAAAGCGAACAGTTGAAATTATGCTCTGTGCGTCATTATTTTTCGTGCGTTTGCTAGTTGCTAGTTTCGGGAAATGAGTCCCATCGGAATGCTTTGAACTTCGGCCCTACATAAATTTAATAAACTGGTTTTAAAGGAAACACGCGTGCATTGTTAAATATTTATTTTAAGTAGCAATAAAGGGAGTGAAAAAAAAAACTAATTTAAAAAAATAATTAACATTCATTTTAAATAAAATGTGAAATGTATGTGTAAAAGCTGTTACTAATATGTTTTAAATTAAAGTAGTTTATTTTTTTTTACATAACACAAAATATATTGTACAATAAGATACAAAGTGTATCATACAATTTAAAATAAAACGTTTTGGTTGCATTTTAATTTCACATTTAATTAGAAATTGAATAATGTTCTTTGGGTGGACAGAAAGAACTACGGTTGCTTATTATGTTAATTTGCTTATTGTGTTAATTATGTTAGTTTGTAGTATGGTGATTTGTTGCAATAAATGTTATTATTATTTTTATTGAGCATTAATTGTTATAAATAAAATCACGACTTTCATTTTCTATTATGAATTTATGATATGTTTTCTTTAAATATAAAGTATAGATAAACTTGTAAAGTTTATATAAATAATTCTAAATTTTATATTTTGAGTAGTATATTCGTTTTAAGTTGTTGATTTGGGGAAATAAATGTGTAGAGTGGATTTGCTTTTTTCGTTTAATTTATTCGAATTCAAACATATCAAAATCAAGTAAAATCAAATTAATGTTGTTTGTACATCAGTTTTTCTTCATCGTGGTGTTTCTCGTGGTAGATCTTGACGTCCTTGGCAAAGAAGTTGGGCACCCAGAATTCCTCTTCGAATTTGATTGGTCTGTCCAAAGGATAACTCATGGAGTGGTGGGAGTCGACCACCCAATCAGAGAATACGTCGGAAGTCGAAGATTCGTACTTGGTTACAACGACAAAGAATTGGAAGGTCTTGCCGGAGACATCACCCCTTGGGAGCATCATCCTCTGTGGGAAGTTGTAGCACTCAGCTGGGTATTGAATCTTGAAGGTTTCTCCGCCGTTCAAAGCTTTGTGCACTTGGTTGAACAAGGTCTTGAAAGTGAGATGCTCTTGGTTGAAGAATTTGTTCTCGTGCGAATTGCGCTCGATGACGTTCTTTCCAGATTTGAGAGTGTACTTGAACCTGTCCAATTCGAAGAAGTTCATGTAGTTGTGCTTCATCTCAATCTCGTGACCGAATTCATCGTATTTGGGTCCAATGAAGACCTTGACCAAAGCATCTACAGACTTGTCACTGGAAACATGGATCTTGTAGTTGTACGGTTTGTGGTTCAGACGGAATTGACGGGCGTAAACTTCGAAGGAGTTCTGGGCGAATTCCTTCTCGTCGACGGTGACGGCGTTGCTGATGTTGGTGAAGCATTGATCGAAGAAAGTTACCAATTGATCGACGTGCATGTCCTCAACCTTGATGCCTTGCATCAAGAGATGATGCTTCTCGTATGGGCCCATATGATGTTGATGGGTATGGAAGAAATGCATCATCTTCTTGGCGAACTGGTAGAACATCGGGTCGCGGAGAGAGGTTTCGTAATGTTCCAAAACGGATGGAGTAAGTGTATGGTGAGAGAAGCCAAGGAGATGGCGAAGGAAGACCTGCAGGTTTCCATAGAAACGAGCGTGCGGAGATTCCGGGTCACATTCGACCAACTTTCCAAGAGTTTCGAAACCTTCATTGGTATAGCAGTTGATCATCTTGCCTTCTGGGGTGTAAACCCAACCCAAGTCGAGAGCATCGCGGATGCGTCTCTCGTAGTCTTCGACCTTGGTCAAGCAGTGGGAGAATTCCTTGAAGGAATGGTGCATTTCCTCACCATCGAAGTCAAGTTTCACGTTCTTTGGTCTGGCCGGGAATGGCTTTCCATTGAAGTAAGCGAGAGCTGGGTGGTACTCGAATTTTGTTGGTTCCTCGTAGTCGACGGTTGGGATTTTACCTTTTCCGTTAGACAGACGTTCCAAGTAGTAGCGAGCCAAGATTTTGTTGTGGGAATAGTGGAACCATTCACCGCGCCTGGTGGCATCAAACTTGTTGCATTCTTGCTCCAACCAGAATGGCATGAAGACGCTCTTGTAGTAGTAATAAGCATTCATGCCGATGTCTTCGGTGAAGTAGGTCATCCATTCCTCCTCGTACTTAGTGTACTCGGCGGGGATGGTGTAACCGGACTTGTCCTTGTGCTCCACTTCATGCTTGTAAGTGCCCCAGTAGTGTTGCTTGTATTGCTTAGCCTTGGTGATGACTTCGCTGGTGAAGAAATATTGAGGGAAGATTTCGTAAATTGGCGGTAAAATGATTTCCTCGGTGTGCTTGCAGTGGATGACAGCAACGGAAAGAGCGTACACGAACATTCCAGGGTTGACGTGTTGACGAGCCCAGGCGGCGCTCTTGTAGAAAGTCACGAAGTCCTTGGCATAGTAGAACACCCTGAAGAGAGCGATGGCATACTTCAAATGCATCGGGTGGAAAACGGAAAAGATTTCATCTTGCTTCAGGAAATCTTCCTCCTGGTAGTACTGCCAGAACTCCTTCACGTATTCAGGCTTGCTCCATTGATCCCAGTGTCCCTCGAATTTGAAAGTCTTGGCAAATTCGATCAAATCCTTGTAATAAGTGGGCTGTTGCACATGTTGAAAAAGACGGAGGATGTCCTTTTGCTTCTCGAGGAAGACTTTGTCGGCTTTAAACAACAACAAAAAATAACTTCAAACAATGTACTTAAACAAATCTTCAAACGAAAACTTACCAACTTTGTATTGAACTCCACTCATGTTGATGATTCAGGATTTGTACTGAGTATGCTAGAATCTTAGAGATGTTAAGTTTATATACTATTTTTCACTGATCAACATGGCCTGATCTCAACGTATCAGCGTTTATCATACACCTAAAGCAATTAGTTTTATTCTCATTTTACGCAATCAAAACAATGCATATCACAAGTGAAATGCAATTAGCGCATTCGCGCAAATTTAATCTTCTATTTTATTAATTAATAACGCTATCATCAACACTGTTATTGTAAAAGTAATCTATTTTTTCTTACTAAATATTTATCAATACTTGTTTACTAATGGAAAAATTCTTTATTTGCATTTTTTTTAATTAATAAATAATTACATAATAAATTTATCACATACAGAAGCAATACACAATGATTATTATATATAATTAACTACACATACATTATAGAAGTTTTTTTAAAGAAATTTATTAAATTAATTTAAACATATACAACTTATAGGTGAAATTACAAAAAATATTAAAGTATTAAAAATTGAAATCTTCTATTCATAAGTGAATATCTTATACATAATTATTGAATCATCAAAATTCAGAATTATTTTATTAAAAACAAAAGCTGAAACCAAGATAAATTAACAATTAAAAGTAATTAGTATAAATCTAATTGAGACAAATTAATTGCAGCATTTATTAGAATAATAAAATTTGAAGTAACAAAAGGAGAAATTTGCATCATTTTTTATATATCGAAATAATAAATTGTTAATATAAATACGATAAATAATTGCATAAAAATATCTTTGAGAAAATAATTAGCATCACTCTAATTGAATCAAATTAATTGCAGCACAGATGTAAAATTTACATCACTGTATTAAAAAAATGTGAGTGTCTCAGATTATAAAATGCGAACAGTTTACATTATGTTGTGTGTGTCATTGTTTTTGTGCCTTTTCTGTGTTGGTTGCTAGTTTCAGTAAATGAGTCCCATCGGAATGCTTTGTAACTAATACGCTTTAAATTAAAGTATTTTAAAAGAGTTTTAGAGTAAATATTATCTTAGTTATTATATAATTTTATTAAAATTATTAGGTTATTACCAATGTATTATGAATTTTTTTCAAAATAGTATAATTCGAAAAATAATATTCAATAAATTTCGTGATTTTCATAATAAAAATTGAAATTTTTAGTAACCATAAATAATTAAAAGTTAAATTAATTTATATTAATTTACATTTTTTTTCATTTATCAATTAATTAAAGGAAATTGCATGAGTTCTAATTTAAAAGTAAATATATTTAAAGGTAGTTGGGAATGTTGGTCAATAGGTAATAGATAAATAGTAATTTTAATGTAAAATAAGTTTTATTGTCATATTAAGGCGAACAATTAGAATTTCTTGTAAGAAAATTCTTTTTCATTGAGTTGCTCGTGGTAGACCTTAACGTCCTTTGAGAAGAAGTTGGGAACCCAGAATTCGCTCTCGAATTCGATTGGTCTGTCCAATGGGTAGTACATGGAGTGATGAGCGTCGACCATGAATTGGCAGAAAGCATCAGATTTTGGTTGTTCGTATTGAGAGACGACAACGAAGAATTGGAAAGTTTTTCCGGAAACATCACCCCTTGGAAGCATAAGCCTCTGTGGGAAGTTGAAGTATTCCTGCGGCAATTGGTATTTGTAGGATTCTCCACCGGTCAAAGCCTTCTCTACTTGGTTGTACAAAGACTTGAAAGTCATGTGTTCGTTGCAAAAGTATTGATTCTCATGGGAGTCACGCTCAATGACGTTCTTTCCAGATTTCAAGCTGTACTTGAACCTGTCTAATTCGAAGAAGTTCATGTAGTTGTGCTTCATCTCGATTTCGTGGCCGAATTCATCGTATTTGGGTCCAATGAAGACCTTGACGAAAGCATCTACAGACTTGTCGCTGGAAACTTGGATCTTGTAGTTGTATGGTTTGTGGTTCAAACGGAATTGACGAGCGTAAACTTCGAAAGATTTCTGTTCGAATTCTTTCTCGTCAACGGTGACGGCGTTGCTGATGTCGGTGAAGTATTGATCGAAGAAGGTCACAAGTTTGTCAACTTGGAAGTCTTCGACCTTGACGCCTTGCATGAAGAGATGTTGCTTCTCGTATGGTCCCATATGGTGTTGATGTTTCTTGAAGAAGTACATCATCCTCTTGCAGAATTGGTAGAACATTGGGTCGCGCATGGAAGTTTCGAAGTGTTCCAAGACGGATGGAGCGAGAGCGTGGTGAGAGTAGCCCAGAAGATGGCGAGTTACCATTTGCAAGTAACCGTAGAAACGAACATGCGGAGATTCTGGATCGCTCTCAACGATCTTGCCAAGAGTCTCGAAACCTTCTTGAGTGTACAAATTGATGATTTTTCCTTCTGGAGTGTAAACCCATCCCATGTCGATGGCTTCACGAATACGCTTTTCGTAATCTTCGACTTTGGTGTAGCAGTAGGAGAAGTGTTTCAAGGAAGAGTCGCATTCCGCAACATCGACATCGAGCTTAGAGTTCTTTGGCCTGGATGCGAATGGTTTTCCGTTGAAGTAAGCGAGAGCTGGGTGATACTCGAATTGGGTTGGTTCCTGGTAGTTGATGGTTGGGATTTTACCCTTGCCGTTGGACAAACGTTCCAAGTAGTAACGAGACAAAATTAAGTTATGGTAATAGTGGAACCATTCACCGCGTTTGGTGGCATCGAATCTAATGCATTCGTGTTCCAGCCAGAATGGCATGAACATGTTCTCGTAGTAGTAGAAGGCGTTCATGCCGATGTCTTCGGTGAAATAGTTCATGCATTCTTCGGTGTATTTGGTGTATTCAGCGTTAATAGAATATCCTGGCATTTCCTTATGCTCCTCTTCATGTTTGTTGGAATCCCAGTAGTGTTGTTTGTACTGCTTGGCTTTGGTGATGACTTCGTTGGTGAAGAAGTAGTGAGGGAAAATTTCGTAGATTGGTGGTAACATGATTCCCTCGGTGTGCTTGCAGTGGAAGACGGCAACAGACAGAGCGTAGACGAACATGCCTGGGTTAACGTGTTGACGAGCCCAAACAGCGGATTTGTAGAAAGTGGCGAAATCATTGGCAAAGTAGAACACTCTGAATAGAGCGATGGCTTGCTTCAAGTGCTCTGGATGGAAAACAGAGAAGATTTCATCTTGCTTCAAGAAATCTTCTTCCTGATAGAATTGCCAGAACTCCTTGACATATTCAGGCTTGCTCCATTGATCCCAGTGTCCTTCGAACTTGAAGGTCTTCGCGATCTCGATCAAATCTTTGAAATAGGTTGGCTGATGCACATGTTGAAAAAGACGGAGGATATCCCTCTGCTTCTCGAGGAAGACTTTGTCAGCTTTAAAAAAAGTATAATTAAAAGTAGAACATGTTATTATATGAATATATGTATAGTAAACTTACCAACTCTGTATTGTACACCAGACATATTGATCGTTCAGGATTCGCACTGAATATGCTTAACATTCTAAGAATCCTGGTTTATATACTAAAATGAGAGAACACAATCATTGACCTATTATTATACTATCATTCACCCATTTGTTATTCTTTCTATTTTTGCCTTTATCCTTAATGTTATCTCTTAAATTATTATCAATAAATAAAAGTTACTCATAGTTGTGCACGTATTTTTTTAATTTATCAATTTGTTTATAATTAAAATAAACAATATAAACAAAAATATCTTAATATATCTGCTACTTCTAGATGCAACTGAAGCAAGAAATTAATTACGTTCTGCATAACAAAACGGAATTTTTTAATCAAGTTAAAATTTAAACAAATAATAAAAGTCTATATTAAGTAGATCAAAATTTACACAAAATGGTTATTACCATATTTTTATTATGTTGTGTTTCATTAAACTTCCTACATTTTAGACTAAATTTCATAAATATGATTGTGAAAATAATGTGCACGTGTTTTATAAATATTTCAAGAGGTAGTAAAATGGGTTTAAAAATTATAGATATTTATTTGTATTTTAGCAACATATATTCAATAAGTAATATTAACATAATACATTTTACATATCCAACATACATTAACACAGGGTTTTCAAAACTTTTGCTGGAACAAACTACTTCGTAAATCTTGAAATTTTCATGGATCGTTTTGTATATTTTGCAAGGTATGTAAATTAAATTTAAAAATGTAAAAAATATTAGTTATTTATGTGTTAATCATTTCTTTCCCAATTTGAATGGAATATCTATTAACTATCAATGGAAAACCGGTTTTCGCGGAACATAGTTTGGAAAACCCTGCATTAATATGTGCCTAAGCTTTATAAGTAAATTATGCTTAGATTTTTCTATGGATTTTAAATAATTGTAGTATATTATAAAGAATAAAACAATTTCAATAATAAAAATAATGTTATATTTAAACAATCTGGAACAATTTATTAATTTTGGGTAAAAATATTTCTTTCTTTGAGAATTATTACAATTTTCTTATAAATTTCAGTTTAAATTTAATAAGACTGAAAAAAGTTTTTAAAATAAATCGATTTCATTGCAGGAAGTTAGGAAAATTTTTAGGAATTTGTACAAAAAAATAGTGTTTATGATGCCAAGTGGTTTTATTGTCAAATATCAATCATATTAAAGAATTAGAACTTCTTGTAGGTGAATTCTTTCTCGTTGACGAGCTCTTCGTGGTAGACCTTTACATCCTTGCAGAAGAAGTTAGGAACCCAGAATTCGCGTTCGAATTCGATTGGTCTGTCCAATGGGTAGCTCATGGAGTAGTGAGTGTCGACTAAGAAATGGCAGAAAGCATCAGATTTCGGTTGTTCGTATTGAGAGACGACAACGAAGAATTGGAAAGTTTTTCCGGAAACATCACCCCTTGGAAGCATAAGCCTTTGTGGGAAAGTGTAGTATTCCTGTGGCAATTGGTATTTGAAAGTTTCTCCTCCGGTCAAAGCTTTTTCAACTTGGTTGTACAAAGACTTGAAAGTGAAATGCTCTTGGTTGAAGAATTTGTTCTCGTGCGAGTTGCGCTCGATGACGTTCTTTCCGGATTTCAGGGTGTACTTGAACCTGTCCAATTCGAAGAAGTTCATGTAGTTGTGCTTCATCTCAACTTCGTAACCGAATTCGTCGTATTTGGGTCCAATGAAGACCTTGACCAAAGCATCTACAGACTTGTCGCTGGAAACTTGGATCTTGTAGTTGTCAGACGGAATTGACGGGCGTAAACTTCGAAAGATTTCTGTTGGAATTCTTTCTCGTCGACGGTAACAGCGTTGCTGATGTCGGTAAAGTATTGATCGAAGAAGGTCACCAGTTTGTCAACTTGGAAGTCTTCGACCTTGACGCCGTGCATGAAGAGATGTTTCTTCTCGTATGGTCCCATATGGTGTTGATGTTTCTTGAAGAAGTACAGCATCCTCTTGCAGAATTGGTAGAACATAGGGTCGCGCATGGAAGTTTCGAAGTGTTCCAAGACGGATGGAGCGAGAGCGTGGTGGGAGTAGCCCAGAAGATGGCGAGTTACCATTTGCAAGTAACCGTAGAAACGGACATGAGGAGATTCTGGATCGCTCTCAACGATCTTTCCAAGAGTCTCGAAACCTTCTTGAGTGTACAAGTAGATGATCTTGCCTTCTGGAGTGTAAACCCATCCCATGTCGATGGCTTCACGAATACGCCTTTCGTAATCTTCCACTTTGGTGTAGCAGTAGGAGAAGTGTTTCAAGGAAGAGTCGGTTTCTTCTACATCGAGATTGAGCTTAGCGTTCTTTGGCCTGGCTGGGAATGGTTTTCCATTGAAGTAAGAAAGAGCTGGGTAGTACTCAAATTGGGTTGGTTCCTCGTAGTTGATGGTTGGGATTTTACCCTTACCATTGGAGAGACGCTCCAAGTAGTAACGAGCCAAAATTTGGTTATGGTAATAGTGGAACCATTCACCACGTTTGGTGGCATCGAACCTAATGCATTCGTGGTCCAACCAGAAAGGCATGAAGATGTTCTTGTAGTAGTAGAAAGCGTTCATGCCAATGTCTTCGGTGAAGTAGCTCATCCATTCTTCGGTGTGCTTGGTATAGTCGGCGTTAATAGCGTAGCCAGACTTTTCCTTGAGCTCTACTTCGTGCTTGTAGGTACCCCAGTAGTGTTGCTTGTATTGCTTAGCCTTGGTGATGACTTCGCTGGTGAAGAAGTAGTGAGGGAAGATTTCGTAGATTGGTGGCAAAATGATTCCCTCAGTGTGCTTGCAGTGGAAGACAGCAACGGAAAGAGCATACACGAACATGCCTGGGTTGACGTGCTGACGAGCCCAAACGGCGCTCTTGTAGAAAGTAGCGAAATCCTTGGCATAGTAGAACACCCTGAAGAGAGCGATGGCTTGCTTCAAGTGTTGTGGATGGAAAACGGAGAAAATTTCATCTTGCTTCAAGAAATCTTCCTCCTGGTAGAATTGCCAGAATTCCTTTACATATTCAGGCATAGTCCATTGATCCCAGTGTCCTTCAAATTTGAAGGTCTTGGCAACCTCGACCAAATCCTTGAAGAAGGTTGGCTGATGCACATGTTGGAAAAGACGGAGGATGTCCTTTTGCTTCTCGAGGAAGACTTTGTCAGCTTTACAAAGAAAACATTTCATTATAAATTATGGAAGCAATTTTAGATTTAAATAATAAACTTACCAACTTTGTATTGTACACCAGACATGTTGATCGTTCAGGATTCGCACTGAATATGCTTAACATCTTGTGAATCCTGGTTTATATACTCAAAAGAGAGAATATAATCATTGACCTATTATTATACTATCATTCACCTATATGTTATTTTTTTCTATTTGTTCTTCATTATCCTTAATATTATCTCTTATATTATTATCAAAGAATAAAAGTGGTTTAGAGATTCACGTAGTCTTCAAATTATCAATTTGTTTGTTTGTGAAACTGACATGATAAGAGCTTATTAATATAAAAGTTAATACTTTGATATTGCTGCAATTAATGAAACAACATCAATTCTAGCAATGCAAATATTTAACCGTTCCTCAGGTTTCAAGCATATTAAACATACTTTTTATTAATAGTTAAATTGTAACATTTATTTTTTATGCATTTCTTGTAGGCAAGTGAAGAAAATATATTACATTTTTAATTTATTGTTATGTTTACATCTCAATATTATATATAAAAGGGTTTTAAAATTATTTTTTTTAATAGAATAAGAAAATTGAGGAAAACAAAAACATTTATTAGAAAAAAAAAAGTATAAAAGAAAAGCAATATGAGTCATTTTAATGACATAATAACATTGTTGTATTACATTATGGGATTAATGTTATTATTATAGGAAGAAATAAGGAATGGACTAACACATATTTTTTTTATATAATACTATTTATTATAAAAATATTTGTGATTAACAAGAAACTCATTTTACACTGTTTTTATGAATATGTGTGTATTGTTTAATATAATTTTGTAATAATTTACAGTATATTTAACAGAATTCTTCCATTCTAAATTAATCATCTGATTTTCTGTAATTATAGATACACACATATAATTTTATAAAAACATTTAGAAATTCTTAAGAAAAGAGGTAAATTTATAAAATTTTAATTAATAAGGGTATTTTGTCTATAGAGTTTTGTTTTATTATAAAAAAAATATGATTTCTAAATACTGAATAACATATTTCAAAAGTTGAATTTCATTTATCATATTATTTAATTTATTTCGGAAGTAAGATTTAAAAAAAAAACTACTAAATATTGTTATCATAGTTAATTATTGTATTTGAGGAAGGTTTTATTGTTTGTTGGTAAATCATTAAAATGAAAAAATATATTAAAGTTACATATGCTTTATTGTCATTATCATTGCAGTTTAGAAATCAATTAGAATTTCTTGTAGGTAAATTCTTTCTCGTTGACGAGCTCTTCGTGGTAGACTTTAACATCCTTGCAGAAGAAGTTAGGAACCCAGAATTCGCTTTCAAATTCGATTGGTCTGTCCAATGGGTAGCTCATGGAGTAGTGAGGTACACCTTGAAATCTGGAAAGAACGTCATCGAGCGCAACTCGCACGAGAACAAATTCTTCAACCAAGAGCATTTCACTTTCAAGACTTTGTACAACCAAGTAGAGAAAGGCTTTGACCGGCGGAGAAACCTTCAAGATACCAATTGCCACAGGAATACTACACTTCCCACAAAGGCTTATGCTTCCAAGGGGTGATGTTTCCGGAAAAACTTTCCAATTCTTCGTTGTCGTCTCCCAATACGAACAACCCAAATCTGATGCTTTCTGCCATTTCTTAGTCGACA